TATAAATACTACACTATAAATGATCAGTAATGAAGCTGGAATGCAAACACAGTACTGTGTTAGATTCCAACAGAGTATTTGCCTAGTTGTTACGCGAGGAGGGTATCTGTGTCCCTATGCCACACTTCTGAGCCAGCACTGCAGAATTTCTCCAGTTGAAAACAGCAACCAGAAAAAGCCTAATTTCTACACAAAAAGTAGTCCTGAGGTGTTGTCAGTTCTTTTGTGGGCGGGGCAGGCGGGCATCAAGACCAAGACAAAAACCAGGATGTAAAAACACATGTGCACGCATGTACACACCTACATACAGGTGCTTGCATAGTCTGAGTTCTATAACCTGTCTTCTCAGCGGTTGGACTTTACACTGTAACTAATAATACAAAGACATATGGCACAAAATTCACCCACCGTTGCGTATTTTTAGACCAAGCTGAATCCAGCACCTGCGCAGGACACGTCTTCAACTAGAAGCATGCCCTATTAAAATTTGTCTTGCTTAAAGAGAGATGTGACATAAGGCCTCTTGGCACTAAGCAAAGGCATGAGCAAGTTCCCAGGATCAGTGGTATGATGAGTTTTTAACTATACCAAATTTAATAGAAGGTATGGAATATAAGGGATATTCAAACACCTCAGGGTTTAGAGAACATTTGTTAAATATCATACAGTGACCCCTCCTCAGGGGGAAAAACACAACCCAAAACACAACACATAACAAAAAAACCCCAAAACAAAAACAGCATTAAGATCTGCCTTTCCCACAGTTCTGCCTTCTTGCTATAAGCATCGTTACATCGCCTCAAACTCATCGATTCTCTGCTTAGTGTTGCCTTGCCGGATCTGCCGCAGCGTCTTGTACTTGTCACGGCCCTGTCGCATGTTCTCCGAGTGGATAATATCATTGTGGGTCCTCTTGTTTTCATCTCTAGCCTGGGCCAGCTCATCAGTCAGTGCCTGCAATGTAAAGAACGTTAAATACAGATTATACAGGAGAAGCTTTCAGCTTTCTCGTGTATATGACAGTAGTGTTCTTTGGTGAGAGTTGACAGTTGCTAGATGACAGGACAGATCGGTGATGTGGATACAATATGCTTTCCATAAATACTACGGATGATGTAAGTAATCTCAAAGCCTGAGCAAGGAGAATAATCTTTATATACTTTGTCTTTGATTCAAACTGCCTACAGGAACTGTAATCAAAGAGAAACTATCATGCTTTGTGGATTTAACCAAGTGGTTAAACAATCTATTTTTCAGGAACGATTTGTTTCATTACTCCCCCTCCCCCAAACATTTTCTTACCCTCAGTTGCCTCTGTACACGTTCATTCTTCTCTGCCTCAGTAATGCGTTTCTCCTCGTTGCGATCATTCCTGATCCCCTCGCTGGAGAACTCTGCGCTGTAGGCGGAGTACTCGGATCCTTCATCTTGCAAGTTATCCTGGACATGGTAGTTCACTGGCTCGTAGACAGGTGGAGGGGGTGGGGGTGGAGCAGTCATTACCAGGTGTAGCTCCTCCTTTGTCTTTACCAGATCCTCCTGGGCTTCCTTGGCCTTTAAGAAAAGAGTGAAAAATATTTTCATGCATTTCTTGCTTTAAGCCAGCTTAATGAACATGTCAATGCTTATCTTCCCAGTTTTGTCAATCTGCAATGAAAAGCAAGGGGAAATTAAATCTCTGCAGCTGACAGTACTCTGTCACAGTCTTACACAGAATTTTTTTTTTTTTTTTTTTTTGGCTAGAGATGCTATCATCATACACTGTGTAATGTGCAGGGGATCTAAACAAAGAATCTTCTTCCCATAAAACAGTCTAGGAAAAATAGTTCTGTGGGACATTAGTTACCTTCATCCTGTTCTCCCTTTGAAGAGCTGTAGGTTGTAAATATGGGTTCCACAGAGCAAGAACTTAGATTCCCAAGTTGGCATTTTTAAGGTAATTACATGCTAGGCAGTCAGCTTCCTTGCTGCTTCAGTGGTTCTGCCCTCCCACGCGGTCCGCAGCACTAGAGGGAACTGGGAGCACCAGGCACTCCGAGCCTTGCACAGTTTATTTTTGGGTTTAGTGCATCCAATTATTCAACTCCCCCGACCCAGGTACCAGGAAACCACTGACACAGCACACACTCCTCAAGACTGGTACCTGTGACGTGGCTGCATTTGCAGCATCTTCTCTTGATTGATGTAATGTTTTCAGACATTGTATCATGGATTAAATGCATCATTTATACATGTGCCCCTTCCCCCCCATGGCTCCACATTTTTAGGTTCTATACAGGCTTCCATTTTGAATTTTGACTGAAGGCTTCTTGGAAGAAAGGGGTTTTGCACATTCATCACAAGTCTGCACTTCTCTGCTGGTACAGATGTTTGTCTCCACGTTTAGAGAAGTCATAGCAGGCTAAACGCTGCGGTATGCTCTGCTCGAGCATAGAACTTCAGAGCAACTTTGTAAAACAGAGATACTCACTCTGATTTGCCACTCTTCAACCTCGCTCTCTTTACGCTTCCTTGCCTCTTCAAGAAGGGCAATCTTGGCTGTATACTCTGCAAGCTCTGCAGCCTGTTGAGTAATAAAACTGGAATTATAAGGACTCTGAAAAAAACAAACCAAAACAAACAAAAAACCAAACACAACAACAAAACACTGTTGACTGAGAAAAGACCCAAGTGTTACACTCCACCATAATAAAGACTGAATAGGAAATTAAGAACAAAAAGTAGATTGCTCACGATAGAAACCAGTGCCACAGTGATGCTATCTCGCGTGGTCTAGTACTTCACTGCACTCTGTTTTTCCCCAAAGAGCAAGGCTTTGCATTACTCAAAAGGGCATAGTTACTTGCCCCTATATCTTGTCCTCAAAATGACTGGGTCTTACCAGCTGTTCCTGGCTCTTTATGTGGTCCATAGTTTGTCTCTCCAGCTCTTCCTTGGCCTGTAGAGCAGCCAAACGATCAGCTTCCAAGCGTTCTGCTTCCTCCTGGGCTCGTCTCCTTTCCTCGTCCAGCTGAAGGGCTCTTTGGATCTGATCTGAGAGCTCTGGAAAAAGATGGATCAATGTGGTTAGTCCACAAGCCTGGTCAAAGCAAAGGGACTACAGACAGTCTCTTAGATTAACTGCAGGAGTCGAGACAAGCACTTGACTCCAGCTTCACTGTGCACCTCAAAGTAGTTATTTGCATAATACATCAAGTAACTGAATTCAGAAGCAGTCAGCTGCACATTGTAATTAAATCTACTGCGAGATATTGGCACTGAAGTCTGTAACACTGACATGATTCTGCTGCCCTTAATTGGCGGTTTACTGCAAGGACCAGATGATGCTGTCTCCAATCTGCTCATCTGTGCATTGAAACAAGCTTCCATTTCACTGGAAAGACTTGTTCCAAAGTACTTTTTCTGTTAGGAGTTAAGTAAAAAGTACTTGAGAGCTTGAGAGCTGAACTCTTGCTCACTGCTGGAAGAGGCTATACCACTAAAACCCTCTTGGCAACAGGGGAAAATGGAGTTCGTGCCCTTCAGTTCCCAAATACAATCAGCAGATTGTATGCTACTTGCATGCTTTGGATGATCTCAGCAGTACACACGCATGTGTGGTATAGGTAGATATTAGTAGGCAGCGACCCATATAACCCTTCTGTGGAGCACAATGCACGTGACCTGGTCAGCCAGTACAAGTACTTTACCTTTCTCTGCTTTCTGAGTCTTCACCTCATACTCTTGTAGCCTCACCAGCAGCTCCTCCTTCTCCCTCAACATTTGCTCTTTCTCCCTCTCAATTGTCTCCCTCTTCTTCTTTTCATTTTCTAGTTGTTGCCTGTTAGAAACAGATTTCATGCTTGAAGCTCATTTTCAGACCTAAGCTACAGCAAGGCAAGAAAGTTGGCTGGGCATCTCTCCAGGCAGTTCAGTGGGAAGTGACTGCCACAAAACAAGAACCAGAAGACAGAAATGCAAACAGCCTGTTCCTTCATCACTTCAGAATTTTTGCTCAGTTTTGGATACCACATTTCATACAAATACCTATATTTTTGTTGCCCACCACAGAAATTTAACACTCCAAATAGCTACTAGATGCAGAGAGAGAAAACCAGGACTCTGTACTGTACAGCAGAGGAGGTTTAACTTTGTTACTTCTGTCATGGGGAAAGTCAAGGAGGTGTAAAAACAAGAGCACTGAGGGAATGAAGACAAACAAGCCACAAATACAGGAGAAAAGCAACATGATTTCTTGAATCATAAGCAACCCGCAGCCAGCGGTAGAAGTCCAATGGAATTACTAGTCCTTTTTCCTTGCCTGTAAGAGGTCTCCCAGTCCCCTCTCCTCTCTCCGCAGTGTACACACGTGCTCCCTGTGAAGGCTTCTCCCCGACTCCCAGCCATCCCATGGTCCAACACATAAATCAGGTGCTAATGCTCGAGAGTCAGGAGAACCCCTCCCTAGGTGTATGCCACCACACGAGAGCCCGCTGTGCCTTTACTTGCACATTTCCTTGCAACTCTCCAGACTGCAAACAGGACCACAGACTCCATGGCCACAGGTCCGAGCCAGAAGAGTAATGCCTGCAGTCCTGCTGCGGGATATCCCGAGTCCAGCCCCGTAAGCCAGAGCTCTAGGGCCACATGCACGCCTTACGAACGTGGGAGGGCTCATGGCCTTGCCTAAGTGAAACCCACGTTACCTACTGCTGCCCGCTGAACCCTGGCAGCTCGGTGTCATTTCTCTCTGCCGCCCCATCCCCACTGTCCATATTCAAGCTCACCTTTCCAGCTCTTTCTGGTGCTTCTCTTCCCGGGCCTGGGCTTTCATCTGTTGCACCTCAATCGTGTCGGGCTTCCTGCGCCGCATATACAGTTCATGGTTGCCCATGCAGAGCTGCAGGATCCTCTTGTTAATTCTCAGACGAGGGGCGTAAAACACAAAGTCCTACAAGAGAGACACCATGCAGTCAGTTTTCCAAGCATACTTTGTCTTCTCCCAGCTAGCTGCAGACATACTATCTTGCCACTAATTTCACTGTAATCAAGACATATACATAGACCATTTAAACATAGCAGCAGGGACTGCCAATATCATCTGAAGCCAAAACAATTGTTATTTATATTCTCCATTTAAAGTCTACACAGAATTGACAAGTTACTCTTCTAGGAAAAGTACCTCTTAGAGAAAATTAACAATCTCCATTCAGAGGAGACTTTGTGGCATTTGGAAATGTTACAGGTGATTCTGGGTTGGCAGGTAACCATCTGGGCAACTCATAGACCTCTAGTATTGAGTAGCTAGTTTAAGTTTGCATGGTTTTGTGACTTGAAAGATAAAGCATGAGACTAAAAACGTATTGCAGACTATTAAAGTAACTTTGTAGAATTTCTTGATCTATTTGAATCAATATTCAAGGCACCATCTGTATTTCTTCAGACAAAGAGAAGAAATACCTTCCAAGATCATTCTTTCCTCTCCATGGCATTTCCTAGTTAAGTGTCAAATGTACAAGAGCATCAAATGAAAGCTATTTTTTTTTAACTACCAAACATACGGGTTGTTTTGAATATTGGGTTGCAGGCAGTAACAAAACACAAGATATTCTAATATTTCTGGTTCTGCAAAAAGAACAGCCCCAAATTTCTTATTATCTGCATCATAACCAGGCTTTTGCAGAAATTATACACCAGACTGGATCTTCTGGAAGTAAATCTGCTAAGAAAGGGATACAGAGGGCCAAGTTCATTACCGGCCTGATGATTTTTCTGAGTCCACAACCATACGTGTTTACAATGCAGTTTGGACTTACACAGTGGACAGACTGCATCTTTGTGCCTTTGTGTACTATGTGGACAGTGATATGGGCAGTGGACAAGCTGCCACACTACGACTGTAAACCAGTGCCCATTCCTTCGAATCACTCTCCTATGGCTTGCCTCACTGTTAGCAAGAGGAGGAACTGAGGAGGGGCACACAGAGGCTCTACGCACTTTTGCATGCCAGCAGTGATTGTGTTTTTAATTGCCTGAGCTTAGAAGCACAAGCTGTGGCTATCTCTGGGAAAACTAGAAGTCACACTAGAAGCAATGAAAAGCTCTTAAAGTACTATTAAGATGAACATGAATATACTGACAAAGACTCATTTTCTTCAATGCATTTTCCTAATTCACATACTGACTGCAAAAGAGGCAGTCGGTGCAGTGCATTGTGTTTCCCCACTAAATCCTGCCAGAGCCTTTCTGAGCTGCATGGGGCTGATACTGCTAACTGTACCTGTAAGCTATTCATCTGACCTCCTATTTCTGACAAGTAATTTTAAAAACAAACCCTTTGTGTACCTTGTGATGAACAGGGCCTATCTTGAGGCAAGGTTGACCTCCATGGAAGTAAATACCAAGGGCATGGACCGTGGTTGAATTTGTCATTTAAGGCCGTAACCAAGGGACAAAACATTCACATAAAAGAATTCCCTCCTTTCTTCATCCCTGACCTCCCCCTGGTCTTGCACAACTGGAAGCATCGCAGCTTGATATTTTAAAGATGATATGCTGAAGGTGTTAGAGTACGTGGGCAGACAGGCCTAAAAATTAAAAAGCTTATTCTGGGCAAGGTGCCACAGGACTCTACCCATTACATTAGTGTCCATTTAAACATTGACATTTAGAATCCTCCAAATTAAAGGGGAGTTTCCAACCCGCATCTTGGGTGGACTGAGTATTTTGCTGTAGTTATAACACTTGCCTTTTTAAAAGGAGACACAAGCATATGAAAAGGTCTAGACAACTTCCTGAATGATCAGAGTTAGTGTCTAGATAAATTCTTCTTTCACACATAGCTTTAAACATAACACCACCCAGAGGGAAAAGGACAATGGAGACAGAAGGAGGAAACATAACTGAGGTTTTCAATGTTAACACCTTTCTGTGTCAGCCTCTTGCAAGTCTCCCATTTCAAACTCAGCCAGGTTTACTGTTGGGGAGCGGATGGAAAGCTGTGATCCATAAACGGGAGGTTAATATTTTGTAATGCGTACCACATGTCCAAGAGGCTCTTCTGTTGAGAAAAGCACGCCTGACAGAGACCAGCTTTCTATCTCTGTGGTGTTCTGTTGGCTTTCCCTAACAGCATCACAGAAAGAAGCTCCTCTCCCCACAAAACCAAGGTTGTTATCTGGAGGAAAGCCCTGCAGCATACTGTGCATTGGTATCCTTTATGTTACTGGGAGGATCTTTTTCTGTTAAAGAGATTTATAAGCCATCACCCCTTTGCCAAAGCCAAACTGCTTATTATTTCTCAGGGCTGTACTTACCCACCACGGCCAAGTACTGGGGCAGGGGAAGAGAAGGAGGCCTTTCTCAACTATTCCAATAGTTTCACAAGACTGACAGAACAAGACCCGCCTATACCAGTTATTCCACTTCATGGTCTCAACAGGTCAAAGTTGCTAATTCTTCACTAAAATAACTTGAAAACATGTTTCTAAGTATTGAAAAGCAACATTCACAGGTAGCTACATTTCAGTTCTCAACAGAAATCATATCCTTGCCATTTACCCTACTATTCAAGAAGGTCAGTGAACACCATGGTCCTTAACTGACTTTTACTCTTTCAGTAGCGTGGAAGTGAGCAGTGAGCATTAAGATGGGAAGCCATATGTATCCATGTGGTTTGGCAGTACCATTTGAATGATTTTTGTGCGTTTTTTTTTTAATGAACAACAACAAAAAAGTTACCCACCAGCTCCCATGTACTGCAAAATGGGGAGAGGACTAGTCTCAGCATAATCTGGCTACAAGAAGACTCACAGAACTAGCAAAGAATCTCAGATTTAAGCATAAGGCTACCTAGTTTGCTACAACAAAAAAAAAAAAAAAAAAAGAAAGACTCTGCAGTTGTAAAATCCTTGTCTTTCTCCATGTTAGATACTACCGTAAGTCCTTTATTTATGCTGCACAGAAAAATAGACAGCTCTACACCCTAAATACTAAGGCTCATTTTGCATCTAGAATATCTGCAGCTTTCTCCTCTCCAAAGACTTCTTTAGATGAAACAGTATCACTTGTTCATATGCAGTATCCAGGAAACTATTCTTGATATACTTACTGGTGCCTTCTTGTCAATAGGCTTTATAACAAACTTCTTGTCATTGAAAGAGATGTTTCTGATTTCGCTCCAGGGGAACCCAATCTTTGGAGTCAGTCTGCAAAGAAGAGAAATATTTTTAAGAGATGCTGCAATGAACATTCTCCCCCCCCCCCCCCTATTGCTTCTAACACACAGACTCGGTAGGATGGCAACACTTCACACAGCTCTCCCAACAGAGAGAAGACAGTAGCTGAACCAAAAACCCACAGGGAGTAGGGAAAAGAAGCCCAGTCACCTCCCTTACAGAGTCTCTTCTCATTTTGGTCAGCCACCCTACTGCCCTTTGGCTGTGCAGTGGGGATGGTCTCTACCAAAGCCACACGCTCAGCTTTACCAAACACCTGATTTAAGTTCATTTCTTTGAAATCAGGGCCTAAAATCCATAGTGCGCAGGCTTTGGGTATATGTGCTGTGCTTCCAGGAGTCTTCTCATACATCACGGGTGGCATAAGCCAAAGTAACTCAGCTGCTTCCCACACCTTCTAGCACCCACAGAGAAGTCTACCCTGCTGGGCTACAGATAGCCCAGTTACCTCCACGCTGCCTTCATTTCTGAAGTGCTAGGCAGGCACAAACACAATTGGTAGAAGGAGATTTCTTGTCTTTTGTTTCCTCCCCTAGATTACAGGCAAGGCTAGTAACAAAGAGCCCTGTTCCTTCCTTCCATGCAAACTGCTCTCTTAGCCCATCCCCCTAGTCATGGAGCAGACCTTCACACGCTGGTCGTGCTGTGCCACGTGGCTCTCTCCTATTGGAAAGCACCCTATGAAGCAAAGGGCAAGATTCAGACTCCCAGCTCTTCTTTGCTGCTCAGGAGTTCAGGTCTGTTGGCTTGTTTAAAGTTACTTTTTTAAGCTTCACTAATCATTTGATATTTTCCTCTGTTTTAATTTCTCCAGACTCTTGCATATAAAAAGCATCAAGTTGTTCATGAGATCAAATGTTTCCGAGCCATTCCAGTACTTCACCCTTACATACCTGTCCAGCTCTGCAGCAAGTTGTAACGTTACAAGCAGTTACAGTCAAATACACAAGTAATTCCTTTAATTCCCCCCAACTAAATATTTCAATTTTTATGTTTAATATCACATTTTTTTTTAAATTTTCTCTTATCAAGGGAGGGTATATTCTCTAGAGATAGCTGTTAACAATTCAGAATTGTGTCTTACATAAATGATAATACCAACAAGCAATCTTCTTGTTACTCTCTAACCCCTCCAATATATGTCTTTACAGACACTGAAGCACTGACAATTATTTCTAGCAAATGGTTTGAAGACACAAGTATTTAATATTTAGCACTTAGAGAAATGTCTGCCATCACGGTGAACCACTTGAACTCTTCAAGAATCTTTTCCTTAACCAATAAGCTCCATAGAAAGAAGCTGGCAATTCTGCAGGAATTTGACTTGTTGTCACAGACATGAAAAGCTACTATGTAGCATGATTTTGCTGGGCCCAAGCATAAAAAAAAAGTTGCTTCCTTTAGAATCAGACATCAAAAATAAAATACATCCTCTTCAAAACTTTCTGTTCCCTAAGCTTTAACTCAACTGCAAGATCATGCAACACTATGTGTGTGTGTGTGTAACATTAAGTAAGAACTGTAAAGAAAATTATTTGATTAGACTAAGATTAACTAATTACTCCAGCCTCCGTCATATTAGCTTAAGTGTTTCAACCCTAGATAATACGGTATGATGGACAACTAAAATAATTTACTTATTAACATTAATAAGTTTTATTGCAGATTCTCCTCTTTAATGCAGGAAAAAAAAGCTTGGAAGTACCTGAAGTGGGACACTGACATACACTGCAGTACAGAGGCTCGCACACCCGTAGCATGGTCTCATTTTCCTCAGGTTGAACTTCAACAATGAAATCTTTACTTTTTCACCTTTGCCCCAGTCCCCAAATTTTGCACGTACAAACCAGAGGCAAGGTGCACATTACTATTTTTATAGTCCCCATATCTGCCCAAAAGACTTAATTACATAGTAGCAAGAGGTACAGCCGAAACAAGCAGTTTATTCCAGCACTGTATTTGTTTTGCAAACGCTCTTGATAGCTCTTTACAGTCAATGGCTATATTCTGTCTGCTTCTGCAGCTCGAAAAACCTGTTTGTGTGACCATGGTTACATAGCAAGACCAGTCATTCAAGACTGAAGTATTACATGAGCGAAACTACTTTTCTTTCAAGTGACACTCCTTGTTTTCTGCAATGCTAATATGTGCTGTCACCCAGAAAAGACTGCATTTCTCTGCCATCTTAACAGAAGCTCCACAGAGTTCCAATTAATATTTGGATTGCATTTAAAGCTTTTTGGAGGCAAAGATGTAGAACAGGTGAAATCCCCTCTCTATTACAATGATAGTCTGTTATAGATTAGTGACATGAAACCAAGACTTGGAACGTAAGGGGAAAAGGGGGAGGGAAAAAAAAAAAAAAAAAAAGAGAAGCAGTCTAGACAGGAACCCTTCATCTAAAAAAAAAAAAAATTTTCTATTTTAACTCCCCTTCAATCATGGAATATTAGAAGAGACTAGCAGGCTTAGACACAGCTGTTCTCAGCTTCCTTTTATGTTTATTTATAGATGCAGTCTATCATTTCCCACCTACTATCCAATTAATAATGGCTCTGCCTTTACTGGAAGGGCTGATTAAAACTGTGTGTACCTCAGCAAGACCTCATTTCATTCCTCGTTCACGGTAACTATATAGGTTAACTCCTCCCTGGGTTCTGCATGTTACCCGGCTTTGGTTTCGTGTCCACCCCATAATCTGCCTTTTTCAAAACCAGGCAGTTGTACACACATCTATCATTAACTTCAGTATAGGAATGGCCTTAGATGTCCAAACACTCTGCAGATACGTTAGCCGATCTAGGTTCTTGTATTGTATCCACTGCTGGCATACCTGGTGACCTGACTCAAGGAAAATCTTGGTAAACTCTTTAGTTCAGGGTTCAGCTCTACAACTGTGCCACTGTACATGGCATTGCACAACTGACACCTCTCTTTATACGGTAGGTAGCATTAGCAGGTTAGGCTACAAACGTCAGGAAAGTCATGAAAGCATAAATGATGTGAAAGCTCATTTCCTAGCACAGCTTCACCTTCAGATCCAAAACTGGAACGTGAACAAGTTCTAAACATTGCTCTGATCCTGTAAATGAGAAATGCCCCTTGGCTCCCACACCAGCCCTCACTCTGGGAGATCAGAGGTTAAAAAAAAAAAAAAGGGGCTTACTTATCATCCTTCTCATAGATGTTGAGCCCCAAGGCATCAACCCCCAGCCAAAGATCAGTTCCTTTCTTATTCTTGATTTCAAAGTAGTTGATTCCATACATCTCCAGGTCTTGAGCAATCTTCAGGTATTCCAGCATGGCAGTCTCTCTAGTTGAGACAGGAAGGAGAGCAGATGTTAGATAAATGAGAAGCTATCTCAGAAAGCACAAAGTCCCCTACAGAAACAAGTAACTTTTCCTAAACCAACACATCAAACACGAGAGTTAAAACTGAACATTCAGCATTTGGGATTCCCTTTAGGAGTTACGATACTACACCTATGAACACACACACAGTACTCCCTTTCACCAAGCCCTAGCATTTCCAGACAGAAAATTAGCAACATTCATCTCTTCCAGCATTCATCCTTGTCTCAAGGTACAGTCAGTGGGAAAGGTATAGTACCTGAACTTTCCCCATCTGCCAATGCAAATGATTCAATGAACTTAAGGTTAAGATGCACACCTGTACTTTGTTTTCGACTCAAAGTCATCACTGATACACCGTGCCTAGGTCCAGGATTTTCAGAAAGCCATCCAAGAGACTGTTCTCAGCACAAGTGTGAAAATCCTTGAGTTTTACCATGTGATTTGATGTTGGACTATAAAATACACACCAAGAGTTCCCACATACAGGCAACTCCTGGAGTCTATTTCAAAAGCATGTTGTAGAGCTGCAAGCTTAAGGTAATCAACCAGCAATAAAGTGACTGGCCTAGGGACCAATACAAGACGCTTACTTGAGCATGCCACTGTGTTCAGCATGCCACACCTGGATCCGTTCTTCCCACTGCTCTCTGGAGAGTTTATGCTGGTCCATTACCCTACACAAAGAAAGAGATATCAGCAAGATTAGACTTTGTGGTCTGCAGTATCCATTGATGCTGATCTTTGCTATAATCTTACTGAAAAATCAGTCCCACACATGAAGCCTTACTGAAACCAAGCAGGAGATCCTACTCAGCCCAAAGATGTACTCTGTGAAGCAGAGTAATTCAGAATGAACAAAACACCTCTGCAAAGCCTTTCTCATCACTAGCCAGAGACATGAGAGGACTAAGCAGAACACTGCAAAAGAATCACATACACACTGTAGGCTCCAGAGGGTTAAAGCAAAGCAAAAGTTGGTGTCATGCCTGGAATTGGACACTGTGCAGAGTGTCATCATGAGTGTAAACAGAAGCCATTTGTCTGGTAACATACACTTATCCTGTGTGGGGATGGACTACGTAGCCTCAAGACATGCTTTCCAGATACAGGATTTTTAGGATTGTACATTAGGATTAAGGACACACAATCCAAACTCCAGGGATGACGCATTCATGACTGAAGGCTCCTCTTTTCTTAAAAGAGGAGACATTCATACTGCCAGTTACCAGCATGGCAACAATGTTTAGGAAAGAAAAGCTGAATTCAAAAGTATACTTCCTCTCCCTAACCAACCCAAGGAGAGAGCCCAAAAACATACTCCGACAGATAGAAATAAGAGAAGGAAAAAACCCAAATGCATACAGTTCAATTAAAAAAAAAATCATGCTTTCAGTGAAACTCTTTGTATTTAGGTAGAATGCAAACTCTTGACTTAAAAAAAAAAAAAAGGCCAAAAAAAAGGGAGACTGCATCAACCAACTCCTTCACCTTTGGGGGATCAGGCGCTCTGAATTGAGGTATCCAGGCTTGTGCACATCTTTGTTGTAATCTCCAAATTTGGCCTGTACAGCATAGGAGCCAAGAAGTACTGCTGTTTCAGGAGGACAGTAGATCTCATCACTGAGGATCCCCTCCTTCACCTGCAGGAAGAAGAGCTTCTGCGTGATGTCCTGGATCAGCTCATCAGACACATCCTCTGGGAAGAACCTGGCACGGAATTTGAACTGGAGGGGATTCTCCTTTCTGATTTCTTGAGCAGAAACCTGAGGATAGAGGCAACACCACAACTGAGCAGGGTTGCAAATGATAGAATAAATTGCTTTTACACAGAAAAAGGGATTTAGGGCATTTTCCTTAAGAGGCAAGTGACTGGCAACTCATTACTGGCATTCCTTAATTCCAGCGGCTTACTGGTATGAGAACACAGGGGAGACACATTATGTTTTCCAACTGAGCCAGTAAGATTCTGCTTGCACAGCAAACCTTGGTCACTGGAGAATGATTTACCATGCTGTACCAGATGGCAAACCCATCCAGCATTGTGTGTGTGTTTGACAGAGAACAGCCCCCTGTCATTAAACAGGTACGTCACTGACTGCCCCATCAAGAAAAACTGTTCATACCCTCGTAAGAATTGCAAGTCCACAAACAAGAGCACAGAGGCACCTGTGCTCTGTTACAACTGCCCAGCCATGAAGTGACCTATCCTTCTGATTAGTGCAACAACTGATCCTGTACGAACAGGGACTAAAACCATCACTAGCCAAGGTGTTCCTCCAGACACAGCAAGAATAGCTGCCTCTACCCTACAAAGTACCACATCAAGCTGCTGCTGTATATCTGACAAATGCTATAAAGCTTTCTACAGTTCACACAGAGAGAAAGGGCAAACTTCCACCATGTCACACCTCACCCAAACAGTTCCCATGGAGGTCAAAGTTTTCTCTAAAAATAATCCTGGACTTAGGAGAATTAAGGATCAACAATAAGTACAAGGTTTATAAAGTTGCAGCCAATATCACATCATGCAACCTTTAACCTTTGTTCAGCAATCAGCCCAAAGTCTCTTACCTTTTTATCAAGCTTCAGCCAAGTCTGGAATCCTTTGTTGTCCACATACTGAAGACCAAAGTACCACACTTCTCGCAAACCTATGGTTTTAACCACCTGCAACAGAAAGGTTAAAAAAAAAGTTATTGTAGGTAAACAGTTCACTTGAGTTCCAGGTATCCTCTCAAGTCCCACATCACCTGTGGGCACAGGCAACAGACTAAACCTCCTCACCTGGCATCTCCTAATTTCATCTTGTAGACAAAGATATACAGCTGCCATAGTAAATGACAGCAATGGCATAGGCTAAGCAACTTGTCTCCCACCCAGTTCCTAGGAGAAGACAATTCCAGGGAAACCGGAAGAGACAAATGTGGCAAGTGACAGGCCACCAACTGCTAGACTGGTACACTGGCAGCAGGTGGGGCTTCTGCTTTCTTGTATCTACTGGCCCTTCTTAAAACTGTGCTTGGTGAAGCAGACAAGCTACTTCTCTCACCAAAGCTTATGGTGAGATGGTCAGTAATGGTGTTAGTACTAACTACAACTAGTTAGCAGTACTAATGCTCAAGTAATCTTGTCTGCCAGTCACCAAAGATTATTTGGCTGGAGGAAGCAACTGAGGGATGCTTCACACAGCTGCTGCAGTAAGCTCCCTGTGCAGTTTTGAGAATTAAAACAAGCCACCAGTATTCTCAGTCAAGGGTATTTTTTTTAAACTCACACAAAGGCTGGTTTTGAAGGACAAAAATATATTGATGGCCCAACATTAGGACAAATTTCATTTCATATATTGTAAATACTAATCAGATGAAAGATCCAGAAGCACCATCCATTGACTGGATGGCACACTTACTAGTGAAAAGAGTCCTGTTTGGACACATTCCTTTTCCTCAGTGGAGGAGATAGCCTAACAAGCTCCTGACCTCCTCCTACTCTTGACTGCTTGTTCTTATAGCCCAGTAGTTTGCTGCCAGCTCATCTACCTGCAAAGCTGTACTCTAGACAGAGCTGAGATCTGGAAAGATCCACTACATACATATCTGGATCACTTGATGTTATTTGCAGAGTAGCCCCACAAAAAGCAATGGGGGCATCATCACAGGGAGCACAACTGAGTGGAAGGCAAGAGCTTTTTAAAACTACTTTGCAAGTTAGGAAAGTGTGACAGACTTGAGAGGGTGTAGTTACATGTGCTTCAACAAGTTTAAGATCTCAACCAAGGATCTGTTTCACCCTCAGCATTTATAGTATTGCTGGAGGCACTCTGGCTGGAGAGCAGACTTGAGAGAGACAGTGATTTTAGGATACTTAGTTTTTGCTGTAGTTTCCTTAAATTTTCTTACTGGTGAGCTAGAAGCCAGCAGCCTGTACCTAGAAGCCAGAGCCTCCCAGGGTTGGTAAGGGAGATGGGCAAAAATGCACCATCCTGATTAGCACTCTGAGAATTGCTGTTTATGTGACATTGTTGAGTAACAGGTGATCTATGAAGTTTAGTGATATAAAGAGACCAAGAAAACTGCATTGCAGTATGAAAAATGTCACTAAGCAAATACAATTTTTAATGATAAAGAGGTCAGTGCCTACTAGTTGAGGAAATGGGATAGCTTCATAGCTAGACCCTGTGGGCTGTATTCAGTAGGCTACGATTTATACATTCTATTGCAGCAGCGCCGTAAGTAACTAGTTATAATGAACTAGAGTTTATGTTAAAAAAAAAACAAAACAAACAAATCAAAATCCCAAAACCCCAAACCCCACAACTTTTAAAAAAGAACTAGAGTCTGAAAACACATCAGCCTTTATTTGACTAAAATTCCTTTTCCCTCCTGCCTCCAAGTGGCTTGTTTCACCACAGAACAGCCAAGTTTTCTGACAGCTAGATGTATTTTTAGAAGGGTCAGAACTGGGCTTTATCCAATCTAGCAGAAAAGCAGGGGTGTGTTGGGCATGGTGGTACTTTCTGTTGCACAAAATATGTGTTGCAAATTTGTTAAGTAAAGAGTTGCATAAATCAAGCAGTTATCAGGTTATTATCTCTGGATGTGTCTTACAACAGAAAAAGTACACTTTTTCTATAAATCAAGTTAGAAAGCTTGCAGAAGTTATGACCTCTCACATTCTTCCCAAAACCTAAAGGCAAGGAAGGAGAAAGTATTAAGCTAAACTTCACAGTTTGACCATTTGGGTTCCAATACAAAGAACAAAGACATGAATGTTTTAGTCTGTATTCTGGGAAAAGGTTTGCAAACTTCCTCCAGAGCAAACCAAGGAAGAACTAAGAACCAAGGCATTATATTCAAGATAGGAGACACCTCCCCTCCACTCCTCAAATGCATGAAGCAGCAAATCTTAAGCCTGTCCATTCTACCCAGAAATGCATTCACTCCCAGAAACTGCCAGTGACACACTCTCCTCCATTTGAATCTCTTTTCCTCGTGGCCAGGACGGCACATGACTGCCTGGGAGGTACTCCAGCCTACTGCACTGGTTCTCGGGATGCCTTGGACCATTGCAGCGTAAAGCCTGCACAGGTCTGGCTTGAGCAGAGCTGACCTCAATATTCACAGGTTTCCGCTATTTTCCCCTTTCTATAAAAGGGAGCTATAATCCACCTACATGCAGGATACACTTATGCTAGCAAAGCCTACAGCACAAGGGCTCTGCCAGAGTACTTTTGCTAGCTGACAGCCAGGCCGAGAAATCATCTTGTGGTTTTTAAAAATAGCTTGCTGCTTCAACGCCCTTTTCCCCCCACAGTGGTTCTGCAGTTCAAGTTGGGCCACTCCCCATACCTGTGAAAACCTGTTGCCTCCATAGGCTTTATCTGAGTGTAAACTCCATCTGAGATAAGGGCCTAGTAAAAGGCTTGCACAGCAGAAGTGAAGAGAGGATGTCAGAACAGTTGCAGCATACAATCCTCACCTTTCCCAGTTTTGTGCTGCACACTTCTACCTTAGTCTTCCCTTGATGTGCAGACGTGTACTCCAACAAGGTATGGACTACGGATAAGAATTTCCAATCACAGGTTTTAAACCTGAGCCATAGGATGTAAGGAGCATATCTTCATGAGGTGATAGACTATCTCAATAGTGCAGCAAGTGCTGCAATAAGCAGTCTTCAGAAGTCCAGAACTACCTAGACAACATACTAGAAACATCTTGGATCCGAAGCATCCTGCCTTTTTTCATGTTCTCAGGATTTTGTGCTTCTCAGCTGGAGGTCAAGAAAGTAGTTTCTCTTCTGCCAGAGATGACCCTGACTCTTAACAGATGTAAACATTAGTGAATATATTGGGGGTGGGGTGGGGAGTCCTTACAGAATCCTTGTTGTAAGGAACATAGGACATACCTTACACTGTCTGATCTAAGGCATTGCTTTTAGAAACCTGGCTTTTAGTTTGGATTTTTGTACCCTCAGAGATCACAGAATCATAGAATTGTTTAGGTTGGAAAAGACCTTTAAGATCATCCAGTCCAACCATTAACCTAATATTACCAAGTCCACACTGATGATGAAACCCAAGTTCTCTGTTTTGGGTTAACATGGAAGGGACTGGGGGAGGAAGTCACACTGATGCAAGGGTGATCAGCAGTGAATGGAAGGTCAAACACCAAATGCTGGTTCCATAAAAACGTAAGTTTCACATGCACTTCACCAAATTTCCAGTCAACGAATACTTGATGTTTATCCCACATCAGTAATAATCAAAAGGAATTAAAGTTAGATTTAATGCTAAACACAATTTGTGGCACTCTATACTGTGAAGTTCTGCAGTGACTACAATTTGCTTTCCTCCTTTTACTCCCTCCAAGAACCCACTAAATGGATTTTTTGTTTGTTTGTTGGGGGATTGGGTTTTTGTGTGGGTTTTTTTTGGAAAAGTACTTCTCACTGCACAGTTGCCATAAGGCTTAGCAGGTTCTAGCTAACTCACTGAAACAAGAAATTGTACCAAGAAAAACTTAGAAGGAATGGACATTTTTTAGCCAGTTCTGCCTACCTGAGTTAAAGCTCAATCACCCTTTGCTATCAAGGCTAGCAGGGGACAAGGGGAGAAGTGCAAAGGAATCGCTATAACACTTTGTAAACAGTTTAATATGCGTAACCAAAGTCTGCGTAGATCAATTCTTAAGTTTTCAAGGTTCCAGCAGAAATAGCTAAAAGCAAGCTTTTTTTTAAATTCCAGAAGAGTAAGATAATTTTCTGCTGAAATCTGGGCCTTGCTTCAGTTTCATAAGAGCAAGCTAGTTAAGAAACGAATAATAGTTTTACAAAGTGCTCTTTGTTTATTTTAGTTGTCTTTATCTGACCTTTGTAGGTCCATCTCCAAACAGACCTGTATATTGTTAATGCAGTAGCAGGAAGAATACCAGTAAGGGAGCAGAGTCTTGGCTACTCATGCCCTCCATTTCCCTGGGAACCCCTGGAGACAGGCCGGACAAGTCTCTGCTCCATCCTGCTGCACAGGGTCTTCTTACAAGGCATGTTGCTATAGTTGCTGCATAGAGATCATAAAGTCTTCCGGTTTTCCAGTAGTTTGGCGAACTCAAACACCTGTGGCAAGTGGCTACCTCTAACCCAGCTTCTGAATGAAAGCAGCTATGCCTATGCTTTTGTCAGCCATCTGAAGATCCGATTCTGAAGTTTTATGCACACGGACAACATTTCAACTTTAGAATTTAAAAAATAAGAGCTAAGCTGTATTTCAAAGCAAGAGGTGCGTTTTTACACACTACCTATGCTGTCTAGACATTTTAGACCCCTTGCGACACTTCATCACCCAACACAGCTAGGGAGACAGGTTTCACTGGAACATAACATACCTGCAAGGATTTTTGCTTTCTTCTTTTACTGTGATGGAATTTAGAGACCTTAGTTCAGACCAGGGCCCTCTGATTAGGAGGTGGAGAGAAGAAGGAAAGGTAGATTTGGAATCCAGTCTCAAGAAAACACTATAGCCTGAAATGTACTCCAAGCATAGACAACAAGAGCCCATACCCACCCTTCACTGACCTGGTCAAACAGCTGTTTGCCTGTAGTGTTTGGCTGGATGGCAAACTCCAGCTCTGCATCCATAGTAACAACTCGAACATTGATCTAAGGAGAAAAACAAAAAAGCATTGTTTTAAGAGTATTGAAAGCTTTTTCTCAGTGTTAACACAGTACTTTGTGTACAACATAGTCTCCATGCTTTGATGCGCTACCATAACCTCTATAATATACACACTTAAGCCCCAATTAGATTTGTGTTATCACACCAGCAAACTTAATTGGGGCACTGACTTTGCTGTCTTAACCAGATGGCTCTGCAGGTTTTCCTACTCAACACAGGATTGGACTGAGCTTCTGGTTAAACAGGAGGGCATTTTAGAGTTGACCATTTCCAGGCCTAAGCCCCTTTGGAATAAGAGCTCCTGTGAATGCACAGCATAACTGTCTGAAGGCCATCCCTTGGATTACGAAAGACCCTAATGACTAAATTAAATTTAAGACTTATAATTTAACTTCCATTTATGTCAGAGCTGGAATTAATCAGAGGTTTTAAAGGCAAAAGGCTACAGATTATTCTTACGAAGCAATCAGCATTAACCTGATAAACATTCATTCTTTCCCTCATAAAAATCTACTCAGCACATAAAACCAGCAGTTATGGGTACTGAATGATACTACAGGGCAAGAGTTCACTAAGCTAATGCTGGTAGTGAAGAAACTATATAAGCAGATTTACTGCAATGGCAGAAGTAGACTGCAAGACAGAGGTTACTATTGTACGCAGAAGGCAAGAGTGTTTAATGACTAGAAAAAGTCTATTAGCAGTTAATCAAGAGACAAAAGCAGCAACTAAGCTTGCAGGGAATAGCATAAGGACCAGCAAAATGGCAAATCAGGAAAGGATTATCTCCAACTGTTCTGACTACAGGAGACTATATTGCTTGCAATATTATACTATGTCTCAAAAAACCCAACCACCCCAAAACAAATAAAATCCCAAACTGGGATGATTGTTTGGTTAGTTCTACTAACAAGTTAGATTTGTAGCTTGGTATTTTAAAGGAAAGAGGAAAAAAAAGTGGACATGTAAACACAAGGCCAGACAACAGGTAAGCTACAGGCAGATAAGATTCCATGACAATTTCCCAACTTTTTATAAACATCACATTACAGAAAGCCAGAGCTAACATACCAGGAGAGCCTGCTACAGCTGCGGCACTGGTGCCCAGGACTGAGGCACACATCTGAAGAAACGAGAGGAAGGGGCAGAAGAGGAATAGAATCACTCACTACAAAACCTTGACACTGCAGCAGTTACCAGCCACTTAATTATGTATATTTAAACTCTAGGATAAATGTCAGGTAAAACAATGTTACAGTTAACACAGGACTGTGAATAAAACAAGTTGCCTCAGCTAGTTTTAGTCAAATGTATTAGAAAATTTTGCATTCCTTTTTTAGGGAGACATGAAGGCATCGAGTGTCTTTTAGTCTTTATAGAGTTGTTTCTTTCTCCTACTCTCTCCCAGATGACAGAGGACCCTTCTATAGAGAGATGACTGAAGGCAGTTTCCAAGTCATGGAACCCCAGAACTGAACCAGAGAAGACAACTGGTTAGGTGCCCTGTCACTTTCAAGCTGTATTTTTAAAGCAGTGTCCTTTAAATTAGGATTTTTTTTTTTTTAAATTCCTCTAAAATCAACAAGAAAGAACAAGCAAGAAAGGTTTTCTAAGAGCTCCTTTTCCCAGCTGTAGCATTCAGGATCCATAATGGAGCATGACAGTATGGCTTAAGGCTTTCTTCCTGTGCCTTAAAACCCAAAGTTTTCCCAAACAGTGTTTCCAGTGTAGCAAGGGAAGGGAAGTTCAGATACCAAATTCTCAGGAACAACAAGACTGCAATTGGAAGATGTGACCTTAAAAAGCTCCTGTTGCTTAATCCTTCTCAACAATAAATCCCTAATCATATTCTAATCCCCTTCTACCCCCTCCAAGAAAACATATGCTTGTAATCCACAGTTTGGTATTGTGCAAGTTATTTGTACTTCTGGCTGGAACACCACAATGGGTGTAAAATAAGTATCACTTTACAAGCTAAAGAACTTGAAAGGATGTGCTTCCCACTCCTTACCAGAAAATCTACAGGATGCTGGCTGAGCACAGAATTCCAGTCAGTCCTAGTATGCTCATCTTTTACTCTATCTCCTTAGCAGTTATTTGCTAGCAAAAAAAAAGGTAAACTCCCTTGTCTAGGGGAATGCTCTGTATTACTCCAAGCCTAAGAGACCGTTCTGGATATAGTCCCCTTCCTAAAGGATCAGCTACATAGTGAGCTACTTAGTGCTAAAGCCATCTACCTGCTACATCTTTTAAGAATTACTTTAGTATTAAGACCAAAAATTGAAGTCATCTGCTTTCCAATTCAATCACTTAAAGCCATAAGCATGCAGGAACACGACTGCTTGGTTATCCAAAAGCTCTCAGGGACACTTGGGGCCTGCGGTAAAGGTTAATTTCTGTGTTCTCAAAGGGCTGAACAGCCAGCAGGATACAGAGGAATTCCCTAGTGTGCCCTCAGACAAACTGCTAGCCATGTGACAGGCAGAGCAAGAAGAGACAGGGCCTCAAGCAGTTGTCACTTCAATGAGTCGATGACTGCCTGGGAAAATCCTTTGAGTCTCCTTCCTGCCATATTAAGTCCTCTTGCTTCTCATCTCCAAGCCTTAGCTTTGATTTCAAGAACATAATGGTTTTAACAGTGTTTCTAAGCAGGTGTCCTACAACCACTCCACACAAGCTGTTAGCCACAGAGAAGCTGGTAGTGAAGCAGCTTAACCCACTTGAAACCCTGGTTTAGACAGGCTGAAGAAACCTTGATGTCTGTTAGGCTGAGAGAAGGCAAGTTTGGCATTCAGCTCAGACCACAGCGCCAAGATGATTAAATCAAAACCCAAGGTGCTAACCAATTCAAGATACTGTTGGTGAGGAAAAGAGGGAACAACTCAGACTAATTTCCATCAGCAACAAAAAGAGCAAGACACAGTTAAGATAACTTTCACAAGTGAAGTCCTGCTTACCCTGTGTAGGCAAGGCAGGTAATTTGTAAGATCCCTACCAAATCCAGGCAGTATCCCAGGACAAAATTTAAGCCATTACAAAAAAGAAAGCAGTTTTTAATTGTTTTGGAACACAGCTGCTTGCATCAGGGTGTAGAGCACATGGCTGTTATACATGAAGTAAAAATTTTTAAATGCACATAGCATGCTAAAAATCCTAGACAGTAAGATGCAACTTCCTTCTCAATAGGCTGATGCTGTAACACTTTATTATACTTCTATGTCTGAGACTAACATCTTTAAAATTAATGACAAATAGGGCCTTAGAAGGTTTGCTTGTGTGTACGAAAACATTACAGAACATGAGGTTTTCATCTTCCCCTGTCTTACGATGCATAAAATTGCTAACAAATTTGATCCAGAGGGAAAAAGCATGCTGTTGAAAAGGCAATGCCATTTGTGTTAAAAGGAAAGAAAGCTCCATGAGTTCTAAGAGACAACAGAAACAGAAGACCTTACTACAATGAATGACTGAACACTAATTCCATGACTTCAGACTGTAGGTTGGACTGTAACGTGTTACCTACATTTCCAACTGGGACAAGAGAGTGGAAGTAAAATGAAAGATGGAACTGAAGAGAACTTCACAATGTAGTTTAAAGAAATCATAACACTATGGAAAGTTCTTGTACTAGAAGTTACAATGAGAAGTTAGAATGAGATCTTCCTCGCTTTAGTGGTGCCCTCAAGTCATGCATTTATTTTTACTTTTTTGGTTTTTTTGTTAAGACAACATCTCTTCTAATGCTGTCAGTAGATCAATCCATGGGACACTGCAGCCTTTCAGAGTCTGTGCACCATACAGTATCTCACTTGGAAAATTAAAGTGCCATTTGAAAAACATTCAGAAAACATTGTCTCTTAAGGAGGCAACACATTGCCAACCAGCCCATCTTCTCTGTGTAAGATCCAAGACCTAGATAGGAACTGAAGACGACTGCCTCTTCAACCCCTCCCTCTCATAAACACAGTTTCCAGGTGTGTTGGACACTGTGCATGCACAGGCAGTTTTTTTCTGAAGTCTGACTCTTGAGCTACAGCCTGTTGGTCCAGAATCTGTCTCCAGTTGCAGGCAACATGGTATCTTTGAAGTTGACCATCCACCTCCTGATATTTAACTGCTCCACTGTAAAACATCAGGTGGAACAGGAAAAAGCCCACAGCCCTCACACACAGCAAGCCGTCATGGGTATTTTGAATCCTGATGCATGGAATCCAATACCCCTTAAGTCCACTTGCATAATGAAATAGTTCAGTGAAACCATGAAGTTGTGCAAGTCATTTAAAACACCATACAATTTATTTCCAGTGAATCCATAAGATAAAGGGCAGTAAATACCAACTTTTACCCATATACACAAGACAAACCAGTACTTAAAGCGTTGCATATCATTATCGAGCTCTAAACGCCTCAGACAACGCTCAGGAATGTTTTCTTCCTCTTTCCAAGGAGGGATAAAGACCAGAGTCACTTAAATAGCAGGTTTACAAGTGCAAATCCTAGTGAAGTATCTTTCCAAGTGGTGGCAATTAGTGCTATGATAATGGAGAAACCTAGATAGGCATGCCTTCTTTCTTCAGTCACTGGATGTCTGGAAATTCCAGGCGAGTAGCTAGTACACGTAAGCAGATCAACCACATAGCACAGAGGGAATACGTATTATTTTGAAGTGCTGCACCTGCACAGCACGTACTGTGAAAACGGCATGCAGGCCGGTTAAGGTTTCTTGACTGACTGTATAGCACACGGACATGCTTGTGCTGAAGGAATAGGGGAGTCTTAACAACAAGTAAGAGAAAGCAGTAGTATTAAGAATACTATTAAGAAAGCAGTAGTATCCTCACTTCTGCAGGTCTACTCTTCCACCACACCAGCCATTAACTACTAATGTAATAAATAACAGGCAAGCTTTCTGCCCTGAGTTGCAATGCATCTGCACAGATGAAGTCATCTCACATCAACCTCAGCAACCAGACCTGTT